CACACACATATGCACGCCCACCACAACCACGCAACACGCCTACATGTACGCACACCTACACACACACACACACACACACACACACACACACACACACACACACCACACACACACACACACACACACACACACATTCGCATCTGTACACCTACAAGCGCGCAGCCACACACACGCACGGCCACGCACACCTGCACACACACATGTGTACACCTACAAGCGCGCAGCCACACACACCTATACATACACGCTCATATCTGTACGCCTACAGGCGTGCAGTCACACACACCTACATATACACACTCACATCTGCACACCTACAGGCGCGCAGTCACGCACACCTCCGCACACACATCCGCATCTGTACACCTACAGATGCGCAGCCACACACACACTTATACACACACTCGTATCTGTGCACATACAAGCGCGCACTCACACACACACACCTACACACACATCCAGATCTGCACACCTATAGATGCGGAGCCACACACACGCCTACACACACATCCCGATCTGTACACCTTCAGATGTGCAGCCACACACACACCTACACACACATCCGGACCTGTACACCTACAGATGCACAGCCACACACACACACCTACACAAACACATTGGCCGCACACACTCACATCTGTGCACCTACAGACGCGCAGCCACACACACCTACACACACACTCTCACATCTGTACACCTACAGGCGCGCAGCCACACACACCTACACACACACACTCACATCTGTACACCTACAGGCGCGCAGCCACACACACCTATACACACACTCACATCTGTACACCTACAGGCGCAGCCACACACACCTACACACACACTCTCACATCTGTACACCTACAGGCGCGCAGCCACTCACACCTACACACACACCCGCCAACACATCGCAGCTAGCCTCTGAACTTCAGATCATAGGTATGCCGTGGTAACATAGCTGCATCTCTCTCAGGCCTTGCCTTCTACAGATCCCCTCATGCATCTGCACATTCAAGATGACAATCCTTGAGCAGCCGGCATCCAACGCCCTCCAGCGATGCACATTTCTGATTGAGAGGCCTAATATTTTTCCAGAATTTGGCTGAACTAAACGCTTCTAGTTCCTGAGCTACACGCCCACGATGATGCGCAGACCTTTTAAGCAGACTATTTTAAGGTCACTCAGACATCCATGACGGCAGACATTTAGAACCTACATTTTCATGGCCCATGCGACGATCAAGACCAAGAAAATAGTAGAACTGTTTATTCGATCGGTGAGAGAGAGAAAGAGAGAGAGAGAGAGAGAGAGAGAGAGAGAGAGAGAGAGAGAGAGAGAGAGAGAGAGAGAGAGAGAGAGAGATATATATATATATATATATATATATATATATATATATATATATATATGATCGACTTGACGATCGTGAGCACAATTTCCAGATATAATGGGCGTCAATGGGCTCTCAATCAGCGTTGTGCAAGATGCACTGACGTAATCGAGCAATGGCGCATTGAGGGACATTCATAAAAAACATCTTAAAATATTTTAAAAAGCTCTTTGTTTCATAAGTCTTTAATGAAAATGACTGCGGTAATATTTATACATTTAATTATATTGTGAAAACACGAAACATAGATACACAAACGTAGAACATGCAAACGTAAAACGCACAAACGTGGGACACACAAACGGATAACACACAAATATTGGCCAAACCACAGGGAAGATAAAGCTGTAGATTTGAACGCGTGAGCTTTTGTACAAAGGCCAGGGTGCCCCTTAACTAAGTTTGCTGAGTGAAGATTATTTTGTTAGATTTTTCAGTAACCTTTAACACGCTTCCGGGTGGCCGGGCAGATACCCTTTGCTCGGGTAGGGGGTCAATTTGACCCTCCTGAGATCTCGGAAATTAAGAAGGCTGAAGACATCAAATTTACAGGGTGTGTTGAACTGTAGGTGAACTCAGTTAGGTTAAAGTTTCAGATTCCTAGGTCATGACCTTCGGGTCAAAAAGGTCAAACAGGGTCAAGTTCCAGGCTGGTTTCCAAGGTACCCCAGAACCTAGCTTACCGTTTCTAAGCAAAATTTCACATGCTCATTCAAGGTCAGTGACTTGGTTAGACCGTTTCAAGGTCAAGGTGACCAAAATCATACAAGATTGCTTTGAGCTTTGCATTTTACTAAGCGACAAAGATTACGCTAGTCAGTATGTTCCTAAACACAATGTGGACTTAGGTCATTTTAGGTCAATGACCTATTCTGACCTCTAAGAAGTCCATGGAAGATGTATAATGCGGTTCCTGCTATCAATAAACTAGAAATGATTACCAGAAACTATCCCATACAGCAAGCTATAGAGTAATAAAACAGGTTTGTTTTGACCTTGGTGTGACCTTCATACCTAGCCTTAGGTCAATGTAATTTGCTCATTCAAATGTTGTGTTGCCTAAAAAGGCATCTCAGATATGTATGGCTTTGTCTAACACTCCGTTGTTGGATCAGATTGAACAATTTCCTAGAAATTGCCTTCGCTGTAGCCATTGCCTGACTTTGACCTGCCATGGGTCAGCGACCTTAGGAGATACATCTAATTTTTGTATGCCAAACGACCCGCTATTCCATCATCTACATTTATGCAAACTTTGGCGCGGCTACACCGCGCCGTTCAGAAACCATTCTGGGAAAAACCTTCAGTGGTCTCAATTTGACCCGCACCCTTGCGCGTGTTAAGACAAGGCCGGGATCATATTTTGAACGAGACCCAAAATGTAGCTTCGTTTGATGTCCATCTTTAGTGTGTCATAATTGCCTCTCTGCTGTGCAGCTTGTCGATATTGCTGCCGGATGGTGCGGAGCAGGAAAGAGTACCGTCGTCTTCACAGTTGCGATGCGGATTGATTGGAGTTCCCGTGATGAAACGGGGGACATTCCTAACCGGCATTTACCGACCTGCTCCGAATCCCGGTGAGCGCACCCAACTTTTTCGCTTTAGCTGAGGAGCAATACTGCCGAGCTGCACAGCGACCGGGGAATTCTGGCCCATCAAAGCCGGAGTTGTTGAATAAAAACATTCCCCAACACATCGTCCCCCTCCACCTGAAACACATTCATCACGCTCAGCTTGGCCTTCAGACTTATTCTGATGATCCGCCGACAACATTCTCCCAGAGATAAACCACTGTTGGAGCGCTTTTCTGGCATCCATTGAAATTTGCTCCTGGCTTACTTCCAAAACCTATTTATGTATAAGAGCTTAACTTCAGACCATCGGCCGTGATCGCAGCCTAACATATTAACAAAAATCTGTAAGTGTCTGGACTTGTTACTGCAGGTCTGCGCCAAGCACCGTCTTCGCTATTATGCGCCCCGGTCATACGCTTCCAGCCCACTCGGTATTTGCTGGCCTGCTTGTCCTGGTCGGAGACCGCCATGCTGACCCCGACGGCCATGCTCACAGATCGCAGCACACGTTAATGCCCAAAGGCCGAGGCACAGCCCGCACCTACAAGCATAATTTGGTTACGCTAAAAGGCTTCCTGTCGCAATGCAAACAAAGTTATACGGAAACTGTGCTGGCGCCTTGCCTCGAGTCCGTTCCATGCCGCAGCCCATCGGCATCGGGGCGCGGACCGTCACCGACTGTGCTGGCAATCAGTTTCTCTGAAAAGTCCTCTGACCCCCGCATCTTGTGTCGTTCTTGCAGTTACCTGCCGCCTGTTGCAATGTTGTTTTTTAACGTTGACGTCGTCTTTGTTGCAATGCTGTTTTTTTAACGCTGACGTCGTCTTTGTTGCGATGTTGCCTGTACCCCAACTGAACTTCATTTCCGCTTCAATATCGTGTAACTGCTGCTCCGTTTCGGTGTGGTCTGACCGCCGCCTCCATTTCAGTGTCATCACCGGCGCTGATCGGCGTGAGCCTGGCGGCCAGTCTGTTCCTTGTTTCTGTGGCAGCCATCAGCTACTTCTGCTACCGCGGCGGCGAGGAGGCTCCCTGGAAGCTGGTGTACCGGCCGGGGGCAGGGGCCCGGTGGGCGTACCGGCCTGTCCCCAGGGGACCTGGCCGCGGCGGCCGCCGCCAGCGACGGCCGCCCGAGGAAGGGCAGAGTGAGCCGGGCGAGAGCTCTGGCAGTCCGCTCCTTTCCGGAGATGACTCGGAGAACACTGGGAGTGGCGAAAATCCTGGCAGTCCGCTCCTCTCCGGAGACGGCTCGGAGAATGCTGGGAGTGCCGAGAGCTCTGGCAGTCCGCTTCTTTCCGGAGACTGTGCGGAGAGCGCCGAGGGTGTCAAGAGCTCGTTCTCTTTACGGACAGGCCAGCGCTGCTGGGAGAGCACACGGCCGTCAGAGGGTGGCCAGGAGAGTGCCGAGAACCTGCTATTGCCCGAGCCCGATCGGAGCAAGTTGGACGGCTCTCTGCCGTCTCCGGACGCCCAGGCGAGCTCTGAAGACTTGCTGCTGTTCGGGCACCTTTGGGTGGGTTGCCGGAGGGACGCGCCGGCCGCCGACAGACGGCATGGCGCCGCTGCGCGCCTGCTGGCCGCTGGCCGGGCTGGCCAGCCTCAGACGGCGCTCATCACCTGCCACACCTCTCTGCCATCTCATCTGACACGGTCAGGCTCGATGCCGGGGCCCTGCAGCTCGCTCCAGCCGGCAGCCAGCGCACAGTGCGTGTCTGCGTGAGTCTGTTGAGCCGCCGACACTCGGCGCCCAGCCGGCAGCCAGCGCACAGTGCGTGTCTGCGTGAGTTTGTTGAGCTGCCGACACTCGGAGCCCAGCCGCAGCCGCCAAAGTCCGCGCCGCTTAAAGTGTTTTGAATGTGGACTGTGCTCGTAAGCGCTTTGCGAGATTTGGGCACGTCTTAAGGGATTTCAGGCAGATGGGTTCAGAGGCCGCGGTTTATATCGCGGGCGCTGTCGGCAGGAAGCCGCCAACTCCACCGTCAAAACACCGGGGAGCCGTAGGAAGGCAGGAAAAAACCTTCCCGACAGCCCGGTATATAGATCACCGGCGGCGAAAAAGGCAGCTCATTGGCGCACGAGGCAATCAGCGGTCGAAAGCGGCTGTTGGGGGAGCGCAGGAGCGCCGAGTGATGTCAGCTGGCGGTCAACTTGGCCCGGCCGGCCGGTGAAGCCAATCCGGGGCGAGTCAGGCGGGGCCGTCGCGTAATGAATGGCCGGGGTGCGGGCCGGACCATACTAATGGCCGGCGCCGGCCGGCCGTGTGCTGGCCGTCACTGGCAGCGCCGCTCGTGTGGGGAGGCGAGCCCCGACGGAGTGGGTGGGCGGCCGCGCAGGGTCGCTTTTCAGCCGCAGGGGATCGCCCCTTTGACTGCCCCGGCAGCGTGATACGGTGACCTGCCAACAACGTGCGACTTTGACTGCCCCGGCAGCGTGATACGGTGACCTGCCGACAACGTGCCATGCAGCTTAACACGTCTGGAAGCCAATTACAAGCACAGTCATGCCTATATAGTTGTAGCACAAACATGTCTGAGCAGCTGGCGGGCCCACGTTTAAAGCTAGGCGTCAGGCTGCGTTTGTGTGCGAGCGTATATCCCGCGATATCATAACGCTGCGGTCGGCGCTGCCATGAATGGGCGCGTCGCTCTGAGGAGTGGGGTACGTACTATGGTATGTTGTCAAGCAAATGCTCGGGAGACTCCGTCCTCGTCAAAAGCCTGTCAGGTGCGTCGGCTCGCTGAATGCTGGCTTCTTGTCACGGCTAGAATTCGGTGAAAGTTCCTGCTCCCCGGGTCTCGTGGAACCTTACCATGTTCAGAACATGGTAATTCCTCTGGCAGCTAGTGTGTTTGAAGGCAGAGTTGTCGATTTACTCTGTCCTTGTTGGCGTGCTCATGTTTGCTGACAAGCAATGGTGAAATGCAAAAAGTGGTGCAAGGGCTCGAGGTTGTTCTGCTCAAGGAGCATAACTGACTGCCGTTTGGTGTCCATGCGATGCTCCCACAAATGTTTCAAGACTGTGGCAGGCTATAGTTGCACTCACATGTGTGAACGAAAATACCTGAATCCAAGCACCAGGACCGAGCCGATTGTGCGAGCCAGGGAGTCATGTGAGCGTGTGTGCTGTTTCCAGGTACGAGCGTGAGCGGGGCCTGGAGTGTCGCACGGCCAGCCGAGACCTCCCAGCAGCGCCGCGCCCTGGCGACGGCCGCCGCCGAGCTGGCAGACTGGTGTGAGCCCGCGCCGGCTCCAGACAACGAGAGGTAGCTGTCGGCGGCGCCGGGACGCTCTCCCTCACGACTGTCCATGAAATTACGTCATTCATATGCAAACGACCACTAAAACTTGTAGGCAAGCCATTAGGTCCTAGGTCGCGAAGGATCAAAGCATGCAACGGAAGGGAGACACTAGTGAGAAATTTAAACGTGGCTTAAGAATACATAGATGCGAGCGAAACCCATGTGAGCCTGATGTTTTTTGCATGAGTTCATCGCTCTGAATTTTCAATCATGACTGTATCAATAGCAATGCATATATATATATATATATATATATATATATATATATATATATATATATATATATGTATGTATTGTGCTTTGTAATACGCGAGCCACATATACCAGATTTACAAGTAACAACGCAACGACATGTTTTTGATGTTACCTAACTGGATCTAGTGCAACGATGAACCCTCAAGGCATTACCCGCAGGACCTGTTGTGCGGCGCTGATCGAGCGAGGTCATGACATACCCGCAGGACTTGTGTGCGGCGCTGGATCGAGCGAGGTCATGACATACCCGCAGGACTTCTTGTGCGGCGCTGGGCGAGCGAGGTCATGTACATATCCGCGGGACTTCTTGTGCGGCGCTGGGCGAGCGAGGTCATGACATGCGTGAGGGATGTGTGGCGTTGTCGTGTAAATAATGTCCAACACCAAGTTAATGGAACCAGACACCTGCGACAACGGCTACCAATAGGTTAGCCAATGCGTTCGAAGTTAACGTTCATGATAGTTTAGCAGGCGGACGTCCACTGATGTAGGTAACACCCGCAGGCAAGTTCCGAATAACATTACGTGGAAACGGCTGACCTTGTCTCTTGTCAGGACTGACAATGAAGGTCTAGTAAGTCGACGAAAGCGCAATTGTTTACGGTTTTAGCAATCGTAGCCAATATTTACCGAAATGCACAAATATTTTTCGGTGGGCTCTTGTCACCATAAACAGGGCTGTTAGTAAAGTTTTCATGGCCCAATGTCTCTCGCGTCAGGCCACAGCGTCTTGTAGTCGAGATCGGCTTCGAAATTGTGCTCTTGGTTTCTCTCCGACAAGATTGCTGACGATGTACAAGATTATTTGCTGACTGACTCGCTGACTCGATCAGTGCCGCAAGTTTGCTCCTTTTGATCAGACACCCATTGCTCGAACAATTCCGAGATCCGTTAGCAAGTTGTGCTCGTTACTTTTACCTACGCCAAGCGGTTGGTTTGTTGATTTCCATTTTATTCATCAGCAGAACAAGTTGCATACGCTCTGCTTACCAATGCCTGACGCCAGTTTTGACCAAGTCATTGAAAGCATCATAAAATGTGCAGACACATCCTTTGCGCGCAAGGACGCGCGATCCTCTGCATACGTTCACCCGCAGGTTTACCAACACACTTTGCCGTGCTCTTCTCCGTCGTGATCTGTTGATCACATATTGCTGCGACGCTGGGTCACTGAAGTCTCGTCACGCCTTTGATCCGAACCATTCCGGCTGTTCACAGTTTACCAAGTTCTCGGATCACGACATCAATGCAGGACATCGTCTTTGAGAGAAGATACATGATCCTGAGCACTAATGGCACTGACCTATTTGCTCTTGAATATTTATAGGTGTGTAGATTTGCTTGCCTGCATTTTTCAAACGCAAACAGGTCGGTTCTACCAGAGCTTAGATTCATTTATCCATTCACTTTTGTAAGTTATTAGCTTAATCAGTGCCGTGTGAATCGCTCCGGGGAGATGATATTTTGACATTGTCATGTTACAGTGCTGCAAGAAAGGCCCGTCCCACCAAACAGCTTCCACGGCAATGCTTAACTATTTTTACACAACATTTCGACCCTACAATCATTTACACAGATGGACTCCCTTGCATATGAGCTCGTAGAGAACACGACAGCTGAACTGGGCCTGGCCAGGACTGGACCGGCCGGGCCGGGACAGGACGGGCCGCACGAGGTTGCAAATTTTCTCATGCGTCTAGTAAGACTGCCTTCGCCAAAAGCCTCTCTCTGAACTATTAAAACCGCTCATACTGAAACTGGAGTGCAGCGTTGGGTGGTGTGTTTGGCTTAGAGATGGGCGACGGGCGGTCTCCAAACGGCGAGTGTGGGCGGCCATTCCGGCGCCGTCAGCGGCTCTCCACCGCCGCTAATGGGCCGCTGATGGTGCGGTGTCGGCTAACGGAGTGCCGAGAGCGGTCTTCTGACCTTCCGTTCGCGACACAGAGCGGCACGCGGCTATGGCTGCATATAAAGCCGGTGGCTTGACCGGACCCGGCCGGCTATTGCCAAAGCGATGAGTGTCTTGGTCGCCGCGGCGAGTGTTGGTGTGCCCATCACCGTGAATCACATTGGTCCTGGTGGTAGGCGGCCACCGGATGTCAGTACAGACCCAGTCTTATCTGCCTCTCTGCGCCATTTACCCACGCCGCTAAATATCAGGACAGCTGTTGAACGGGGTGGCACGCCACGAGACGAGCGGCACCGGCTGTTCCGCAGTGCCGTTTACGGCGTCCGCGCGACCCCCGCGCGGGTCGCCGCGCGAACCGGCGCGGCCGACACCGCTGCAACACTGCGCTGGCTAACCGTTATTGAATTCCCGGCCGCGGCGCTGTTGGCTTCTTACTGGCGGCCAAATTACTGCCGCTGCCCCGGCCGGACCGGGCTGGGCCGAGGCGTAATTTGGGCCGGCCGGATATTGATATCCCTGGGGGCCGGGCGTCAGCACGCGACGCCGTATTTCTCCGAACGGCCGGCCCTGCTCGCTCCATGGATGGTGGGGCGCGCCTCGCACCATGGATGGCGGGGCGCGGCATCGAATACGACCGTCTTCACTGGTACCGACCGGCCCTGCTCCCTGACTCGGCTGGTGTTCGCTGCGAAGCCGCCGGATCCCACTGGGCCACTGGCATTTGGCGCGACTGTTCATTTTCACAGGTGTTCATCCGAGCCTCACCAGCAATGCCCTGCGGGCCCAGCGAGATCCACACTCCTCAGTTAAGAGGTCACAGTAAATGATCCACACCCTGCCCCTGACAATCCGCAGCATGCGCTCGGATTGGGGTGCAGTAAGGGCAGCGACTGGACGAGGAGCGCAGAGACCAGAGTGGAGGGGCACGGGCACTTCCCAGGCGTAGACTCGTGCGGCAGCAGATCTTGTCCCGACCCACATAAGTCAACGGAAGTGTCATTTGGAAGCAAACGGGCGTGAGGTAGGATTGGAGGAGAACGCCCTCTGACGTGCTGTCATGAGCATGTGCACTACGACAGTATTTCAATAGGTACAGCCGTTGAATAGCACGTCATTGCCGGCGTCCGCTTACAAACCTCCAGCCTTCCTTAAACGATTTTCGGTAGGACTATCTCCGAAGGCTAAAATAGAAGTCCGAGATTATTTTCTATTTCAGTTCAAACATCATCCCAGTGAATGCAATCACGATGGCTTCCGAGAACCCGCGCGGAGAGGTGAATGGACCAAAGCGACGTCGGTGCCAGCCGGGTACTATGGCCGCTGAAATGGTTGTAAGATAAGCCTCCGGAATACGTCTTTGTTGCTCGAAGTGTTCAGTATCAGTATCCGTGCAGTATCCCTGCAGCTTGATGTCTTGATGCTTATCGCGTCATGGTAATATTGCATTGCTGATGGGGACACTGTCACAACATGGCAACTAGCACAACATAGCGCTATTTTAGGATCACATCTATGTTGATACAGCGGCGTGCTGGGGTTTTGACGTTTTGACCGACGCAATCAGCGCGCTATCCACCCCGCCACGAAAACAGCCGACTGAAGCGTGGGGGCCAACGGCCATATAGCCTCCGGCTCCGTCAATATTGTGATGCTCCGCCGCTTCTCGGGGAACTGGGGACGACCCCGATGTCCGTCACCTCCCGTCTGGGCCTCCCTTTCCTGACCGGCCCATTCCCTCCTTGTCCGGCACATCTGCTCCCTGCCCGAGGCGCCTTTCTTCTCCGGAATACTCCTCACGGTACAGGCCTTCATTCCCTGCCCTGTTCATCCTCCCTGACGGGACCGTCCCTTCCCCGGTCAGCCCTGCCTCCCTTCCCAAGACAGCACCCCCGCCTGGGCCTCCCTTCCTGTCTGCAGCACGCCCGCTGGCCAGGCGCAGAAGGCGCAGACCGGATGCCTGGGTCTCCCCCCCTGTCTGCAGCACGCCCGCTGGCCAGGCGCAGAAGGCGCAGACCGGATGCCTGGGCCTCCCTCCCTGTCTGCAGCACGCCCGCTGGCCAGGCGCAGAAGGCGCAGACCGGATCACAGCACATCGTCGTGATCCGGTCCGTCGGGTGACAGATCGCCCATCGGCCGTTGCGTTGGACATAGGTGAAAATCTTATGCTGATGTGGGATCTGTTACACTGACAAAAGTCACAATGGAGGCTCACTTTACTCATGTGTGGCAAAATGCAAAGTCAGTAATCAGTCGGCAGGGTAGTAATCAAATGCTCAGTGGCAGAGTTAGTAACATTAAAACACAAAATGCAGATATCTTGTAATTGTATTTGTCATCTATTTTGTAGAGTACATATTGCAGATAGCAATCGCCGCCGCATGTCGAGGACATGTTTATCCGACAAGCATTGCTTTGTTTCCGCAGGACCCTCAGAAATATAAAACCTTTCTGATTGTGTTTTGAAATGCCAAACCCTTCTGACTGAGAATCAGGGGTTTTTGAATTAATCAACTTGCCGGCTCTAATGCTGAAATTTCTGCAAACAAATGAAGCGCGGCGTCTTGCGCGTGACCGCGGTCAGATAGATGACTCGTGACCAGGTCAAGTCAAGCTCCCAATCCGTCATCCCACGAAGCATGCATAAACACGCTGTGGCTTGAAGCTCAACCTGACAACGGACCTGATCTCGCAATTTATGCTTTGTTTTGTCTCGTAACAAGTCGCAGGGTCGTTACAAAATATAGTGATTCAGCGGCTATTTTTCTTGGCACGAACTTGCCTAAAGCGTTGCAAAGCTAAC